CTGCGCTGTCCCGGCTCCTCACGTCCAGCCCGTAGCCGGTCGCTATACTGACTGCGCTGTCCCGGCTCCTCACGTCCAGCCCGTAGCCGGTCGCTATACTGACTGCGCTGTCCCGGCTCCTCACGTCCAGCCCGTAGCCGGTCGCTATACTGACTGCGCTGTCCCGGCTCCTCACGTCCAGCCCGTAGCCGGTCGCTATACTGACTGCGCTGTCCCGGCTCCTCACGTCCAGCCCGTAGCCGGTCGCTATACCGACTGCGCTGTCCCGGCACTCAGTGTGTGATATGTATATATTTAAAGGGAATCCGGCCGGGGAAGGGATAAGCTAAGTTAATGGACTTACGTATAATATATTCACACTTCCGCCCAACATCAAGATTTGACTACTTCTAAGGGCAGATTCCTCAATGTACCCGCATTCTTACTATAAAACAATCTTGAATATAAACTTATCATCCGTTGACTTAGGACAGAATGTCTTCCTGTTAGCCTCTCGTTTCGTCTCTCTTCTGCACCAATCTCTGGTGAGACAGCCTAGTTAAGATGTCCGCTTCCCACGGGGGGAAGTCCGGTAGAAAGAAATGTATGAACTAAGACATTTGAAACACTGCTCCAAGTAAATTAATGTAAAGTAAAGACTAATTCGACGTTCATGATGTGTATTTGTACCAACCGTCTTACAGTGCACATAATTTCACATTTCTCTTCACTGCATGTTTCGGCACTAATGTGCCATCTTCAGGTGTGGTTTTATTTATGTCAAACCATTGCACTGTATGCCATCATGTCTCTTTATAAAATGATTAAAATGTATATATGTCATGTATAATAATAAAGTTTATATACTAAAACTTTTCAAGATTTATTATATAAACTTTATTATTATATATGACGTGTATACATTTTAATCATTTTATAAAGGAGACATGATGGCATACAGTGCAATGGTTTGACGTAAATAAAACCACACCTGAAGATGGCACATTAGTGTCGAAACATGCAGTGAAGAGAAAGGTGAAATTGTGTACACTGTAAGACGGCTGGTGCAAATACACATAATGAATGTGAATCAGTGCAACAGGGCGCTAAAATATAACATTAATTCGACGTTGTCACACATCATGCACAGAACTGCATGATGAACTTGTACACTTATTAATTTACAATTCGCGCTGTCCTTGCCGCATGTACTGAAGAACTTGAAGGCATGAGGCGTCATTAGTTTTCTTAAGAACTTACTGTTATTTCAGGCCGAAATACAATGCAGCTTTCGTGCACACATACTGCCCAAAGGCCACTCACCGAGACAGCTGTATCCATTCTGGTGCAGAACAAATCCATCCTTACAGTCGCATTCGAACATCCCGTCATGCAGTTCGTAGCATAACTGTTCACAGGGACTGCCATGTCCACAGCGCCCTGCAAGCAGAAGCACATTGAACTAACTGAAATGTGAAGGATCTTTCTTAAAAAGTTGATAGATGCTCAGCTGGTTAACAAATTACAAGCTTTATGGAACATGTACGCGCATTGCTGTGTTCCCAAACACCCACCACTGAACTCTACTTGAGCCAGTTGAATCCAAGTCACGGGTACCTGCCATGTTTCTTAATAGATCCTGGTAAAGCATAACTGGGCACCTTCCTTACGGATTAGGCGCCCTGATATCTTGGGAAAAAACTATATCACATTGAGAGCTTAAAGGAAGAAGAGCTTAATCAGACCCTTCGATGGCGAGGGTGGCTCTGTTACGAGTATTTCGTCACTACCACATAGTGCTGTCAGTTCAGTTACACAATCTGCTGATTTCTTGTGATTTAAATCATTGTCCCACACAGTCCATGTTTACTATCAAAACTATTTTCATGAAGAATGCCGTCTTCTGGGATGTGGCGCCGTGTAGATATTGTGTTAACAGGCGTTTCGGAGGAACGTCGGTTAACACAATATCTACACGGCACCACATCCCAGAAGACGGAATTCTTCAGTCACCGCCGTGGAAACCTCAAATTCTACAAAACTATTTTCAGTTACCGACAACGTTACAATTACTCCTTATGAAACCTGTTGCATCTTGTATCTTTATGTTCCTCCTTGTGGAACATACGTGTATGTTCAGATTTTTTCTCTATGAATATCTATGAAGAGTTGGTGAATATTTGGACGACAAGAGTGGAATTGGTCATCGTAGTGTTGATGGAAGCTCAACTAATGGCTCTGCAGACCATAGCGCAGCCGGAGATAATGGGATACTCTGGAACAAATTTGGCGAGATAGTAGTTGGGAAATGTCATGTCAGGACTCGGCATTACTCAGTGATTCCGGACTTTGTCCATCGTGTAACATTCTAGAAGAACACGAGGTTTCAGAAACTGGATATATCCTCATGTAAAATGACGGAGGGGCACCTAATCAGCTAGGTCCGTCAGACAAACCCAGTCTCAGGCACTGGACAAATAAGTCAATATAACTACGTATGTATATGTACACAGTCGTATCAAAAGTTGGAGCATGTAATACCAGCTCCCCAAAGCCATTACAAACTTCACCGCGTGCAGGAAGCTTGAACCAGAGAAACATTCATCATCTGCCAACTTCCAAGTTCCCATCAATACACAGGATCAATATAAGTTCATGTTTCTGTATGCTTCCGAACCAAGACTGCCCCAGACTAAATCAATACACTTTGGAAAGACAACTATTGCTGTAGCCTGAGAACTTTTCTCGAAATCTACAGGAAGGCCTGTTATAAATCTCCAGAGCCAAACATCGGCAATAAGAGGATCGTTTAGCGCTGATCAATATTTTCAAATATTTTCCACTTAATTTGGTGTGCTTCTCACGAGGTTTCCTTTTGTTTTCCTCTTAGAATGTAGGCGATTTTTGACGCTGCGTCAGCTATTCTGGTAGTGTCCTCCCTGTGGACATAACAAGAACTGGCCAACTTTTTCACCTTATCATTCACCATAACATCAATATTCCATTTCCTATTTGTATATTTACATAAGAATTCGCATATTTTTTAAAGTTTCCCTCCGCTTAAAGTGATTTCTGGCCTTCATCCGTCCAGATGCAGTCTTGAAACTTTATATTGTGACATGATGCCTGAAAGCCAGAATAGTCCATTGTTAGACAAAGGCTCGCCACGAAATTAACACACATTCCCTCGGTAAAGAATAGACGCGGAATAGTCCAGTGCTAGACAACAATTCGGTAAGCATGTTCCCACGGCAACGAACGGACGGAGTAACAGACGAACTGTTCGAGATGGTGGTCAATATTCGGCTCGCCTCGAAGTTACAAAAGGAGACTTCAGTTCAGTTCAGTTCAGTTCAGTTCAGTTCAGTTCAGTTAGTTCACGAGAGTTCAATCATTCGTCATTCGTAAGAGAGTTCAGTGTTCAGCTGTGGAGTGCTCACCAGGGGACAAATGAAGCTGAGGAAGTGACCGAACCAAGTCAGTCACGCAGAAGAGAAAACACTCATAGTCCAGTAAGGAATGGAGCGAGTCTTAGGCAGTCACTGTGTGTGATGTTATAATTGGCTGTCATTGTAATACAAGTACCAATACATCCAATAATCCAACCCAGAACCCACTATTATTGGCTACGGAACCCCGGGAACGTGACAGTAAGCATTCTAACTAATTTGTGTTACCGAAATAAAGCAAGGTCCTACCAGACGTTTTATTACTTCAGCCAGGATGCAGTCTTGAATGATCATAACCATCCTATGTGGGCTCTTATGGTCCTCAACAAAACAAATTTTCAAAAAATTAAACTATATTAACATTAGCTTTAATTAACGTTTGTCACATATTTCGATCCATATTTGGATCATCAAAAGGCAGTGCACTGAGCAGGTGCTTGTTACTGAATTCTCATAGTATGGATTCATGTTAGTATTATTTAAAATTCCGTTGATTTCTATGTCTCGTTATAACATATGTTTGTAGTTTTGATGTTACAGCTGATCCGCTGGACTAAAATTGTTTAAATTAGTGTTCGTGTCTCGTCGGTACGATGTGGCTTGTCGTATGTTAGTGGGTGATGATGTGTTCTGGGATTCTCTGTTAACGTATGTTTTATATGTTCGCGTGCAATTGCTGTTGCTTCTTCTCTATGTATTTCTTCCTGTTTCTCTTATTAGTGTTGTGATTAAGTTATATGCCCTTTGGAATATGTTTCTGTGCTTCATTTGTATGGATCTTTTCTTCCTACTGTTGAATGGTGTTCCTGTTTTGTGGTTCTGTGTGGATTAACTAATGTTTATTGTCGTAGTGAATATGTAGCTTGGGTCATGTGGTATTCCAGGAGAAGGGGAGGGTGGTTGTGTAATGACACTTTTACACAGACACATAATCCCATATTTGATCTTATAATAAAACATACCCATCATAATAATATATATCCGAAAGACCCCCAATCACATCCCACCCCACCCCCTAGCATTACACAACCTTCCTCCTCCTCCTGGAATATCACGTGACCAAAGCTATTTATTTTTTTCCCCCATATAAAAGGACTTTAAAATGCACAACATTCCATTGTGTCAACTTGAACTTCGGATTAAGTACGAGTTCTAGTGGACCAATATGGACAATCCATGTCCACTTTTACCCATACCTTTAAAGTGAACTTCCAGTGCCAAATTTAATTGAAATGAGTTGGTTAGTTCCGGAGAAGAGAACTACAGGCCTACAGACAAGGCCTTCATTATACACTGTATGTTATTACGCAATATTTATGGAATTAGGCCTACTGAACGAGCAGCTATTCGTACCACCTCCGGCGAGAGCATAACCTTCAACTTTTGGACAGGCCACGTATAGTAGCGCGTTTAAATCATGAGATGTGTGTGACGTCATTCAGCACAGCAGCTGAGCATGCAGAGTCACATCTTATCCATGAGGAAGCAGGAGAGGAAATTAACAGGTCTCGTCTAGTGTAGTGCAGAACACTTAACACTGTCTGCCTGTCTGTCATGTCATCTGTCTGCTCACATAGTACGTACGGACTGCACTGCTGCGCGCGCTGTCGCTCTGGCTAACGCGGGAACGGTCTGACCTGACATGCAGAAGATGCGGCGTTGAAACTTCTGTTTTACCTTCCGCACATTTCCTCATGTTTTGTTAATTAATGCAGTTATTACATCGGGCGGGATAACACGGCGGTATCGTGCATAAAATAAAAAAAGAAGAAAGAACAAACAATACATTAAAGAATAAACATATACATAAATAAATACACAATAAAGCAGACTGAATAAATGGATGATAGAAATAATTGTGAGGAGGAAGGAAAGAAAGAAGAAATATACATCTGAAGGATGAAGTGGCAAACAACGGAACAAAGAAGGGAGGGGAATAAGATTTGAGAGAATAAATGGTTGTAAATTTATGTGCTACCAAATGACGAATACGTCACGGCCACCTCCCGCGAAATCATGCAGCTGCTTCATAAGCAGAGCAGGAGATGCGCGCCACGTCTCAGAAACAGACACGTACGTGTAAGTACATTGGGAAACGCAGACGACCTCTTAATTTTGCTGTTGGATACATAAATTCGAGTCCAAGTCAATTTTACTATCTCTCAAATAAATCGCCGGGCCGTGACGACAATGAGTGATGCATGAAACGCGGTCTGAAGGCCACAGTCATGATTCTAAACGCATATAGCGTACTCTTATCAGGCGCATTCAGCAGAAAGCATTACAAATTACGCCTCTCACGCTACAAACAAGAAGAGAAAATGTCACTAATGTGAGGCGATGATCTGTTAATTCTGAAGGTTCAGGTGAAATGAGTAATTAAAAGACTGCGTTTAAAGATGCACTTACGATAAAGAAACACTTCATTCATACGCAATTAATTAATCACTGTTAGGGGATATTAATTTAAAGTGGCTAGAAATTGCAAATATATACTGAATGCACAAACAATCAAGATTACCGCTTCTCTGTTCAGTGTTACTACACGCGCTAGAAGACACGCTGCAACACAGCACTGCTCTCAAACAACAAAACGAAGTACCAGCTTAGTCAAGAATATCTTTTACCAAAACAACTGGAACACTGTTTTGGGGGGGGGGCATAGATTGGCTTAATGATCGAGGATGAAGGACTTCGGCAGCATGATCAGTTACATCTTGTGCGAGAGCTGAGGTGTAAAATCGTGCAGTCTGCTACAAGGTTACTGACGGAACTTTTAACAGACTACACGGCGTCACATCCTGGAACAGAATACATATGTGCAGACTTATTAACTGAGGTGGCAGGAAGTTTTCGTTTAATTATTATTGAGAATAAGAAACTTCGGCAATTTTCGTGTGTCTGAGGGAAACCACTGTCGATTATTCGGCAGTCTTCGGAAGACCATTAATGGATATTACGAGTACATGGCCTATGGGCGCCAGGATCCCT